GGAGGAGGAGGAGGAGGAGGAGGAGGAGGATGCGGGGCGTTTTTCCGCGGATGCGTGGTCGCACGGAACGTATCCGTGCGACCGCGTGTCCGCGGGATCGCGTTTCAGAATCCAGGCCGCTGGAGCGCGGATGTGGATGCGTTCGCTGCTCGTGGAACGAAAACTACCCCGAGACGAGGCCAGCATCCCAGGGATGGGATCGGTAGCCCTGTCGTGAACAAGTCACCGCGCCCGAGGCCCAAAAGCGGAGAGCATGCAGACCGGAGGTAAGGGGGAGGGAGGGAAGGGGGATGATTGGGAAGGAGGAGGTGGGAGGGAAGGAGGGAGGGAGGGAGGGGAGGGAAGAAGGCGGAACAAGGGGAACAAGGCCGAACGTGGGGCAGGAGGAGGAGGAGAAGGAGGAGGAGAAGGAGGAGGAGGAGAAGGAGGAGGAGGAGGAGAAGGAGGCGGAGGGGCACGAGGAGGACGAAGAGTGATGGTGGTGAGAAGGGGGAGAGGCGGAGGGAGGAGAAATTCCACTATCGGAGGAGAAGGAGAAACAATACCAGCATTGGTAAGTACGGGAGACATGAGATACGGTCGGACCGAGGTATCAGATCGATGTCGGTTCGGGGAGGGTACCCAAATTCTCTTCGTGTCTGTTGGATGTTCTTGTTCATCCTGGAGGAGGCTGCCCTCGACTGTTCTTCAATGCGGTCGGCGGAGGGCTTCATGTTCCTCAAGGATGTTATGTTGTCCCAGGTACGGCCGTATGAGGATGCGAAGGACAAGCAGATGTGAGGGCTTTGAGAGCCGAGAGGCCAACGTGGCTGCCTCGCGCTGGGGCTCCATAGCGTCTCGGCGAGAGCTGGTTCTCTATACGCAGCCGTATGGCTTAGGGATTGTTTCATGGCACCCTCTGCATGTGTCGTGGGTTGCTCGCGTTCCTGCCCTCTCTCTCCTCCTCTCTTCCCTCCCCTCCTCCTCCTCTCCTTGCCCTCCTCCCTCTCCCATTCCCCTCCTTCTCCCGCTCCGTGTTCGGCTTCTTGGGCGAACTCTTCTCACGAGCGTGCAGCTTTGACTGTGCGGATGCGGCGAATGTAAGGGGCCACCGACTTTTTGATTAGTGGCCACCGTGGGTGAGTTCGATCGGACCTTGTGATGTATGCTCCGCCTCCTGGGCATTCCATTCAACCCCGTTCCTGTTCCCAGACGACGCGTATGGTGACACCGCGTGGGCAAATCCTGCCTCACTTCATTTCATCCATGGCACGGAGACGGTGCGCCAGGGCTTCTGATATGCAAGTAGGGCGAACAATGGCCAACAATTGTCTGTGCATCGACGCTGCTGCATCCCAGTGTTGCCTAGCACGTGCACGGCTGCGGCGATCGAGTCCCTCGCCAAGCCGCTCGAGCAGGAAGGGTTGCATGCACATGTGGAATGTACTCTCGCATCGACAAAACGCAGCATACCTCATCTGCTGCTCGGGCGGACTGCCTGTCACCAGCGGGCTATGCTCACAGACGTTTGCCCCTGGCTGCGCGGGCGTATCCTACCCTCGAGTGTGCTTCATCTTGGCGCTTGCGTTTGGTTATGATGGGCGGCGGCTGCAGGATGGAGGGTTAGGACCCGGAGGCCTGCAGTAGCGTGCGCTGATGGCTGCATAAGATTATGGCGTACTCCCGTGGGCTTGGCACGCTGATCAACCATTGACGGCTTCCTCAAGCTGTTGCTGTATCCATGCTCAGAGGAAGGCCATGTGACTGTGAGACGCCGGTAGTTGGCCTTCGGGGGGCCCCCTCGCCGCCACGGCCGGAAGCAGCGCGGAAAACGGTTACGTCCGGAGCCCGAGAGGGGTCCCGGGAGTGAGTTTGAGTTCCCAGTGTCTCAAATTCACCACCCACCAAACCACCCCAACCCAACCCGAAGGCCTCAATTTGCCCTCCATTTCCAGTGGGGGGGGGTGTCGGGGAACATCGAAAAAAACACGTATGGAACTCATACCCCCCCCAATCCGAAATTCGGGTCTTCGGGTTGGGGTGGTCTGGTAGGTAGTCACAAACCGCCTTGCATCGATATGCAGGATACTGAAGGCAGGGGGTGGGTTCCCGAGCGCCGTGGGCCGTGCAGCGTTGTGCGGCTTCGTGCCCAGGGCCCGTCGAAAGAGGTCCAGCCCCAGGATGGGGCCCTGGCATCGCTCGGACGTGTGCATTTGTGCCTTCGGCGAGGACCCTTGAGGAGCATCCCTGATCATTTGGCCAAAAAACCACGCACGAAACCGAAAAACGCACAGGGAATGGACGTCCGAGCGATGGCGAGAGGATGGGGCGTGCATTCTGGCTGTGCCAGCCCGTCCTGACCAGAGCTGGTTCTTGCTCTTCTGGTTTGGGCTGTCCGAAGAAGGAAAACAGGCCATGAACATAGACTGTTGGCACTCCGCGCGGAGTGCCAACAGTTTATGTTTTTTGGGCGTTCTTGCGTCCTCTAGCTGTGCTGGCTTATCTGTGCAAGCCCTGGTTCGGGTCGCGCTGGCATTTCGTCCCCGTGGATCTAGGTCTTTTCGCGGGCTGCAGGCTGGATGCTTGGAGTCAAGAGGTCTGCAATTGCGCACGATCGTGACCGATTTAGTCCTTTGTATCATCACCCACTTCGTGGGGCTACCGGCGATCTTGATGTTTGGTTTGGCGCTCTGCAATCTTGAACTGCCAGTCAGTTGACTACACAACGGAGTGTTGGTGACCTGACCCACGCGCAGATGTACCGTAGCGCTTGCCTCTGGTGGTTCAGTGAACTTGTTGTTGCCGTTCCTGACGTGTCCCTCATCCTCGACATCGTGGAAAGGGAAGCTCGCCTGCGCACGCCCTACGGTGAGGTTGAGCGAGGAGCGGCACCGCAAGAGCACGGCGCCGATCTCCCAGCACAGCGGCCTCAACAGGGACAGCGGAGACGCTGCCGGATAACCCACGCGGCGTCGCATGACGGAGGCTGTGTTCGCGAGCGCGCCGACCGACGCGCACAGCGCGAGCTGTATGCGCAAGCGCGTCGGTTTACGTCAGAGCGAGAAGTATCCGCATGTTTCGAGCTATGTTCGCGAATGCGACGTACAGTGCCGCTTTTAATACATGCTCCGCGTGCGGATCATGTATTAACATGCAGGGACGTAGTATTCAAACCAACGAGGAGTTCATGCGTAAATTCATTCGTCAATTAATCATGTATTAAGTCCTATAGTTAAAGCATCCCATGTATTAAAGACTGCCCTTGACATCATAACGAGAAGTATCCGCACCTTTCGAGCCATGTTCGCGATTGCGACGTCGTGAACCATACCAGTGATGGGTCTGTTACCATGAACTACGTCCGTGAAGCAGCAAGCCGTTAAGCGTCGAACGCACGAATCAACCAGCATGTGTTCCGCCAGCTGTCTGCTGCCAGCCTCTTTCTACCTTGTCGAGACGCACTTTTTGTTTGAGGGACCTGGTCAGCAGAGGGCCCCCCGCGCATTGCAACTTCATAGGAGATGACTGGTTGGTAGAACCTCTTCCTTGCCGTGTCCCGACGCTGCAGCCATCGCGTGTGGCTAGTCTGTCGGGTCCCGGTGGTGCTCTGGACGGTGTGCTTCCGGACTGCCATCGAGGCAAGCTGGATTCCTTGACATGCGGGGTGCGGAAAGGCCTTCCTGTTAATTTCCACCCGGGTTCAACGGATGTTTTTTACCGCCCTATTTTCCGCTTCACGTCCTTCCGTTAAAGAGCATTGTTTCATCGCTCTACATCTTAGTTCCGCTGCCCCCCCCCCGCCCCCCGACGAGCGGGGGGAGGGAGAGAGGAGGTAGAGGAGGAGGAGGAGGAGGAGAAAGAGGAGAGAGGAGGGGAAGAGGAGGAGGAGGAGGAGGAGGAAGAGGAGGAGCAGGAGGAGGAGAGGAGGAGGAGGGGAGCAGGAGGAGGAGGAGAGGAGGAGGAGGAAAGGAACCCTCCCTCGTCCTGTTTTTCCTCCTCCCCCCCCCCTCCCCCCCCTCCCCGCCCCCCCCTCCCTCCCCCCCCCCCTCCGCCCCGCGGCGCCTGAGAGCGCCGCGCGCCCCTCGGCGGCATGCCGGCGGCATGGGTGCCGGAGGCCGCGCGGACGCCCGAGGCGGTCGCGGGCTTCGCCGCCCTCCTGGCTCGCGCCGGCTCCCCGGGCCCCTGCCCCACACGGCGCGCCCAGCGTTTGTTCGGGCCTGCCCTCTACAGGAGGAGTTTTCGACAACTGGAGAACAAGAGTTCCCAGAAAGCGCCCCGTATCCGCAGGGTCGCAACCCATGGGCCTGGCCCGCTTGGCCGCTGCTACGATTTGTTTTTCCCCACGAGATCCATCCTGGTTTCGGCCCCAGCTCCAGGCTTGGGCCCCGGCGCGGCGCTGCAGCCGCCAGGCGGCGTGCAGCCGTCTGGGGCGACCATGCAGCCGCCAGGCGGCATGCAGCCGCCGGCCAGGGTGGCGGCCATGCAGCCGCCGGGCGGCATGCAGCTGCCCAGCGGCATGAAGCCGCCGGCCGGGGCGGCCATGCAGCCCCTGGGCGCCATGCAGCCGCCAGGCGGCATGCAGCCGGCGTTGGGAGCAATCATGCAGCCGCCGGGCGGCATGCAGCTGCCCAGCGGCATGAAGCCGCCGGCTGGGGCGGCCGTGCAGTCGCCCAGCGGCATGCTGCCGTCGATGGGGGCGGCCATGGCACTCGGGGGGCCGCAGGGTAGTCAGGATTCCGGGGGCGCACGCGGTCCACGGTACACCTGCCCTGGCCATGTCGCTCTTGGGCCCAGGATCGGTGGATGTGGCGTGGCCAGGGAGGCATTTGCAGGGATCCTGAGGAGCTGAAGTGTTTCTTTCGAGCGCACAACGCGCGTTATGTGGCGTCCAGCCCGCCCACCCACCCAGGAGATAACATATCGCCCTCCGCTTCCCCCCCGTTGCAGCAGCGCCTGTTGTTCAGAGCGCAGGTATGCTGTTCGTCGTGCGCGCAACGCGTTATGTTATATACTAGCGGACTCACCCACCCACCCAGCCACATAACGCGCTTTATGTGGTTTCGAAACGGCTGGAGCGCCAGTTGGCCTCGCCAGGATCGGTGTATGTGGATAGCGGTCGCCCTCCTCAGGAGGGCGGCGGCGGCGGCCTTCTCACCGGAAGGATAAAGAGGAGCAGGGACACGTTCGCGTTCATAGAGCAAGACAGCGGCGGGGACGAAGTCTTCGTGTTGCCCAATGACTGTGCCGGGGGACAGATACCTCCTGTTGGGGCGCGGATTCGGTACGCGATCGGGATCGACAAAAAGAAGGGCCGTCCCAAGGCAGTGCAAGTGGTGCCGTTGGACGAGCCCGACCCGGCTGCCGTGAACGCCTGGGACGAGAACGAGGGCTCCAGCGGTGCGAAAGAAAAGAAGGCCATACACATAAATGTTTAGCGCTCCGCGCGGAGCGCCAAAAGTTTATGTTTACAGTGGGGACCGAGGCCAAGAAACACCCTGTTTGCCCTGGGTTTCTTGGATTTCGATGGTTTTGCGATGGGAAGCGTGACGTTGCTATACCAAAAATCGATGGATGTCCTTGGGTCTCAGGGTTTGAGTTGGTGTGGAAGGTTTCTTGTGGACTGGCCTCCAGTGTATGCCGTTTTTTCTTATAGGTTCGGAGATGGGCTTCGTCGCGAAAAACGAGGGAACGATGGGGCTCATCCAGCCGGACAGCGGTGCCGCGATGCTGCTCGTGCTGCCAGCAAGCTGCACTGGCTTCGGCGGCCAGCGGAGGGGCCTTTTTTGTGCGTACACAGCGCGTCACTTGGTCGGCCAGGGAGCCGAGGAGCTCGGCGCAGGGATTCGGTGCATAGACGCTCCCCCGCCCCCCTCGAGTCACGAATAAATCACGACGGGAGTTGTCTGTTATTATTTTCGGCCTTTGGGAGCCTGACGGGCCTTCGGGACCGTCAAACACGACGCAGGATGAAAAACTGGCCCCCACGGAAGGGGTCGAGACCCCCGGGGGCCGAAGCCATGAACAAATCATGACGTCGGGGGTCTGGGTCCCGCGCCCCGCTGGCTGGGACGCTGCGGCGTCTACAATCGGCAGCGCGCCCCTGGGGGCACAGACGGTCGGAAGCTGGGCGAGGGCTGCTAAAACCGTGGCTGCTAAAACGGCCCTCCCGGAAGGAAGAAGCAACTTCCCGGAATGAGGCGCGGCACGCGAAACAGTCAACAGGCTCCCTGTCCGTCCGCCACAAATTGATCTTCTATAAATTGCACTTCTGACATCTCAAGAGTTGACCTTACATGAGCAAGGCTAATTCGATCGAGTTGCATTTGCAAGCTAAAACTTGCACTTCGGCCAACATAACGACTGATTTTAAACTTACTGGAGTGAGGGGCCGAACGGTCTTAGACTGTCCCTGCGTGCGCGGCTGAGACAGGGTTCTGCTGTATCGGGGGTGCCTCGTTTGATTGGCCGCATGTTTAAGAGTGGCTCGTTTCCACGGTTAAACATGCATGCAATAAAACGAGACACCCAAAAACCATTCCCCGAGCATCCAACACGGTCTAAACCCAAGAGAAGGTTTATTCTTGACAGAACAAGAGATCCATCCAAGAATAGGAGAACGGCTTCTCTTGTATTACCAGAGTGGCCAAAATGGCAACGGCGGAGAAAGGTGTAGGAGGACGACGACAACAGCGACGACGACATATAATCAGGAGAGGAAGAGGAAGACCCAGGCCTTCCGATCCACTCGTCTGTTTCGGCTCGTTCTTTCCTCATCCCGACGGTGTGGATATTGCTGCTTCACGCGTAGAGCATGCGAGTCACATCTTGGCCATGCCCCCATGCCTCGCATATCAGCGCGAGGGGGCCGAACGGTTTTACGCGGTCCATGAGCGCGCCTGCAGTTGGCTTCTGCGGCCCCAAAGTTCTGATATCGTTACCGTTGTTATTGCGGTTCGTCGCCATCGCCCCGCGACCCACCCGCGGACCCGCCCGCCTGCACATTTCCCCCCCAAAGGGTCCCCAACAGAAAAAAACGAACAAAACTCATCGACCCGTCACGCGACCCACCTGCGACCCGTCGCGCGCGGCAGAATGGGGGCTTTTGAATCATCTCAGAAGATGGCCACACGATTTGGGGGACGAGGAATAGCAAGGGCTTGCTGCGAGAGCGACTGCTCCTGTAATTAATCCCCCAGACTTAATACCACCCGTTTTCGCCCACTTGATCGCCGCCCACATCATCGCGCGGAGGGGTGGGGGGTTCTCAGGGGCATCTCGATCTTCGCTCGCGTCGTGGGGAAAAGCACGGAAGTCAGAGGTAAAGTTTTCGACCCCATAGTTTGACCTCTGACTTTTTCGGCGGAGGGGGGCCCCTGCAGGCAAGGCCCACCTACCCATGGGTAGTTCCTCTCGCTCCCGTTCCTCCTCCGTTCCTCCTCCCCCTCCTCCTCCTCCTCCCATTTTCGCAGTCGCCCTCCTCATCACCTCTTTCCCAATTCGTGTTCGTCCTGGTCAGCCTCCGCCCCAACTCCTCGCCCTCCTCACTCAATTCCCCGTTGGCCCAACTACTTATTTAAATAAGTAGTTGACTCAACTACTCATTTCTCAAGAAATGAGTAGTCCAGCGTTTGGGCGAGCAATGTGACACCACATATGAGGAGTAAAACGCGTCTCAAATGCAACCTCCTTGTTGCACCATGCCGAGCACTCCATGCCCCTGGACCCCTTTTTGCAATGCAGGGAGCAGCAGAACACGGGTGGCCCTGCATATGAGGAATAAAACGCGTCTCAAATGCAGCCTCCTCGGCATGGTGCAACAATGAGGTTGCATTTGAGACGCGTTTTATTCCTCATATGCAGTGCCACCCGTGTTCTGCTGCTCCCTGCTTTGCAAAAGGGGTCCAGGGGCATGGAGTGCTCGGTATGGTGCAACAAGGAGGTTGCATTTGAGACGCGTGTTGTTCCTCATATGTTGTGTCACATTGGGCGAGCGTCGTCGCCGGAATCACTCATCCCGCGATGTCGCCCAAGACAGTTATGTTTTGAGTATGGTTTCCTTTTCTGGGGCGTCTCGCAAAAAAAAGGTGTCTCGTTTTCTTGGTCTCATATTTGAAATCGAGCCGCTTAATTTCGAGACGGGAGTTTCGAAAACGCGGTCTGCTTTGATTGCAGCCGCTTCGAAAGCGGCGGTTTTCGAGACGCCACGGAATCGAGGCCAACCCGCCCTTCACTCGTATCCGCAACCGAAAGGTTTTATATGGGCTTACACATTGCCCTGTCAAGCGGAGACCTGCGCTTGACGTTCGTCTGGCGGGCTCGTGGCTGGTGCCCGAAGCCTGCCCCTCTCGTGGCCTGCAGCAGGGTATCGCCGTCCGTACCCCTCGTGGCCTAGTGGCGCTGGGATTGAAGGCTGGGGGATCGTAGCTCGCAGCCCGTCGCAGCCAGTTCGCTCTGTGTGTCGCCGCCCACGCCCCCTCATGTCCATTGCCGTGTCTTGGGATGTACAGATAAGGCGGTGGATAGTGATGATGACGATGGCGATGATGATGCGATGATGTTTTTTTCATCATGTGGCCCCTCCCAGGGCCCTGTACCTCGTAATTGCAACTCTAGGGACAGTGCTACTCATGCCACCACCGCCTCTCGAATGGGCTAGCTCGCTGATGAAACCGACGAAATCTTCGTCTTTGTATGCCCAGAAGAGCCGAGGGTTGCCGATTACTGTCCCCATGTATTCTGCCATCTCCTGCCACATGTGCATTTTTGGTTTGCACTTCCAAAAAACTTTGTTCTTGGCTTCCAAAGAGAGTGATTTATAGAGCAGCAGACACTTTCGACACGAGCTTGCTGCACGATCAGCATCGTATACATCATTGCCCATTATCGTGTAGAAAAGAAACAAGCACCTCAACATTTCCAGCACAGTGAGCGAATGGACGGTGCCATGGAACTCGTGCATCTTCTCTGCCAAGCACAATCCGAATGGAACCATGTATCGAGTCTCCACCCCCTTCGCGCGAAATTTGGGTGATTTTGATTGCCTTTTAATCATCTCCAGAGTCAAACCATTCACGCGAACAGGAGTGCGGCACTCTTTGTAATGCTCCTTGACGAGAAGGAGCAACTGGTCCACTCGTCGTTCCTGCGTCGTCTCTGAGAAGAAACCTTTCGATGCGATAGCCTCCCAGAACAAATTCCCAAGTATATCTTGAGAGACGCCCAGATCCAAGCAATGTAGGACATCAATTGTTATCATGATCGCGTGGAAGCACGGCGCCCCGAAGAGGGGGCTCAAAGGGACCCCTGAATTGCTGAGGATGCTAAGCATATCGCGCACGTTGTGTCTGCATTTTCTCCACGCTGCTTGGATGCTGAAATCGTTGTACGGCTTATCGCCATCTGGCTGCGTGGCCCCGCAGAGCCAACAAATTGATTTGGATGCCCAGCCGCTGAATCCAAATATCGTCTTGTAGAATTGCCAATCTCCTCGGATCTGCAACAATATTGAATGGAATCCAAAATCTCTGCCATGCTTCAGTTTCGCCCGGCTCTTGTCTGACGGTAGCCACTCCAACGAGTCGTGCCGCGAGGTAGGAAATCGGCCCATGTACAAGCACCGGAGACTCCACAAAAATATGTCGAGAATGCCATCTATTGTGCATCGCCCCTTGCACCCGCATCCACACATGAATTCTTTTTCAACCATTGCGAAAAGAAAACGCTCCGACGATGGGAAAGCCAACATATTCCAACTATATACCTCGACTGTTTTACGTCGTTGATGGGGCACTCCATCGCCGTGGAAGCCGATGCAAATCAAGTGCCCGCCCGACAGATGCGGCGCCCCGCGCGTGACCTCGGCTCGCAGCGCTTCGAGCCCTGAAGGCACGGAGCAGAGGTCGCCCCACGATTCCCCAGCCTTCTGCACGAGCAGATGTAGCAGCTCGTGAGGAAGGAGAAATGGCATCCACACATCCTCTCTTTTGATGCCCGTCTTGGGGTTGCAGCACGGTACTTTCGCCCAATACAAGTCGGGCATGTCTGTTCCTTTCAAGCACGCCCTCAGCATGTCCCGACACATATTCTTTGGCTCGGCTCCACGGGAACCAACCCTTGCAAAATCATCGACTCCTCTGGCCCCAGCTTGACTCGACTTCGAAGCCAGGAGCTGGGCATCCAGGGCAGACATTTTGTTGCGTAGGAAGAGCCGACTCAAATGGGATCTGTAATCGCTGATGTCCACATCGCTGGGGGCCGAGCTGCTGGCGGGCGTAGTTGCCGCGCTGGATGGTCGAGCAATTGCGACGGCGCGGGCGTCCATGACATGTTGCTTTGAGCCCCCCGTTGGCCTGCATCTGGTGTCGCACGAGTGCTTGCCATATGGCCCATCGGCTGTGCGCGCGGCTCGCTGTTTGTGCCCAGTCCCGGGATGCATGCGATCCGCATTGCAGGCTCGAGCCAAAACGGCTATGGGCGAAAGCTGAATGGGCGACAGTTGCCAGAGGCACGCGCTGCGACGATTGTTACAAGGAATACAAGCAGAAACAGGAGCGGAGGGGCCCCCTCTCGAATCTGGCAGGCACGCGCTCACATTTACCCAGTCACGCAATCAGACGCGCCGCCGGCGCCCCCCTCCAAACAAAAAAGCCAATAGGATGGTTGCGAGCATGCCCATGGCACGCGCCCCGAGCCCGACCCTGAACAGGATGCGACACCCTCTCTCTCTCTCTCTCTCTCTCTCTCTCTCTCTCTCTCTCTCTCTCTCTCTCTCCCTTGTCTGCCTTCCTGTCTCTGTCTCTGTCTCTCGCCCGCCTCCGACGGCAGTCAGCGCGCGCCGAGCCCGCTCAATTGGTCAACCCCTTCTGCACGAGGGACACGGCCCCCTCGGTGAAGGTGTCCAGGGCAGACTCGCAATCCTTGAACTCTTTGTCGTATTTCGCTTTGTTCTTGGCCCACTTGAGGGGGTCCACGGCGCTGGTATCCTCGATGAAGCGCGCCATCTTGCCCTTCTTGGCCTGCAGCGTAGACAACTGCGACCACATCTGGGTCACGAGCTTCGCCGTGACGAGAGTGCCTCTCTTTTTGTCCTTCACCAAATCGTACTTCGCCTGCAGCTTCTCCGCCAAGTCGGTCTGTTTTCCGACCTTGGTCTTCAGCGACGTGTAAGACGAAATCCATTTCGCCTTCTCCGCCGTTGCCTGCGAGATGGCGTCGGCCACGCATCTGCGACACCGCATTCCCAGGATGAGCCCAGGCAGAAGCTTCGTTCCAGCGCGCGCGGCCGGAACCAAGCTGAGCCCCCTGAGCACTCCGAGAAAGCAGGGCCACAGCGGCGCAGTTCAACGCAATCCCCAGCCTCGCGCAACTTCTTGTCTTCGGGCTTCTCGTCCTCGATCGCCTTGGGACCTTCGCCTTCTTCGCCTTCTTGTGGACGGGCTGCTCGACGAAGTCGTCGTCCATGAGAGCGATCGAGTCGTTGACCTCTCCAGCGTCGACCTTGTCCTTCGTGCCCTTGACGGTGATAGCCTTCCTGCGCTCGGATACGTGGTTGTCCACCATCCTCTTCGAGTAGTCGTACTGCAGCTCGCCCTTCTTGGCCAAAGCAGGCTTTTCAGAAGCCCTGGTGGGGCAGCCCTCCACGAAGTCGTACAGCTTCTGCATCGTCGCCTCGTTCTCTGGGTTGTACGGGAACTTCTCCAAGTCAGCGACTTCCCAGATGTGGAGCCATCCGCTCTTGATCGCCTTCTGGCTCCGACTCGTCAGGGACTGCTCTTCGATCTGCTTGAAAAATGACCCGGCCCTGTCCAGCGCCAGCTTGACGGCCAAGGAACGTTTCGCCTCGTAGCTCTTGGTGTTCTTCCACTCCTGGAGGGGGAACTCCCAACCGTCCTTGGCCAAGCGCTTCAAGTGATCCGTGACTGCTTGCGCCCCTGCCTGCCCCAGGGGTTGCCCTGGCTTTAGATCGGCCAGGCGGTCCAAACCCTTCTTCTCTGCGTCGGTCTGCTCGTGCGGCACCACTGCCGTCGCCGAAGCTGCAGCCGGCCTCCTCATCTTTGCGCTCTGGGGGGTCTTGCGGGGCACCTGCTTTGCCATGCTCGGTGGCCAGCGCAGGCATGGAGTGTAGGAAACCTGAACGCGCCAGCTCGGGGCGAAAAGGCTGCGCGGAAGGCCGCAGCGGGGTCGCCGAGACGCCGTGCGGGATCCCGAGGGCCAGAGTTTCAGAAAAGTTTCAGATCTGAAACTTCAACGCTGCATGTTACAAATGTGCATTTTGTATGGAACTGTCAATGAAAACCAATGTTTCTCATCGCGGAAAGCGCTGTCTGAAACTACAAAGTTTCAGATAGTTTCAGGCGCCGACTGCGCCCTGGGAGGAGGGAGGAGGGACGGTGGGGGGAGGGGGAGGAGACCGATGCACGTTTCTCACAGAAGCCGCCAGGAACTCCATAGCAGCGCAAGTGTCCACACATCAATGAGTCGTAGCGTGATTGAGACATGCAAACGCGAGCTGAGATCTACACAGCAAGGACGCGTACTCTGGCGCCTACTGAACCCTACGGCCTAAACCCATTCGCCACTGCATTCTTCAGCGACCTGTATGAGACTCCGCCAGGCGACGTCCATATGTTGTATGTCTGGCCCCTCTTGCGATCCGCGCCGCCCCTCGTGATCGTCTTGACCGTCCACTGGCGCGAGGTGGCAGCTGGCCTCCGAAGAACGGACGATGCTGCTGGGTTCCGAAGAGTTGTTGCCCTCGCTGCCGCGGGCCTCCGGAGTGTTGCAGTCCTCGAGGCTGCGCCACCTTCCCCGTTTGCCACTGCGTTGATGCGCTGCGCATGGCGATGGCTGGCATCCCCACTCGCCCCTCCCACTAGTCACCGAAATCAAGAGGCTGCGATTTTGCCCTGGTCTGGCGGGGCCCCGCCCGCGTGGCCTCGAGGGCCGTTTCGTGTGGAGTGGCCGCTTCTTTGGGCAATGCAATTGTCCTCGTGTTTGGGGGTATCCAATGTGTCCTGGGGCCCTGGGACACTGGGGCCAGCCATCGCCAATCGCAGACCAACGCAACGCAGGTGCAAACCTGAGCGTGGCAAATAATCCAACCACGGGATCTCTGTGACCCACTTCGTGCTGCCCTCCCGCTCGTCGAACAGGAACTCGCACGCGACCATGCCCGAGAGTGCGTCGCAATACACAGCGTCAGCTTTCTGTGCGCTCCCGTCCTGCAACGTAGCCATACCGGTACTTTGGGCATGATCCCAGTAGAACACAGGCTGGAAAGATGCACCCATATCGTCGGCGCCGTCAGCATGCAGGGGTGGTTGCTTAGCTCCGTGTCCGGAGCTTTTCGCGTGGTCGTCGCCATGCTTGCGAACCGCACCTAGGACCGCGCAATCGCCCTCGTCGCAATCCACCGCGTCGTCCTCCTCTGAATCGCTATCACACTCCCGAATCAACGACTTCGTGGCCTGTTTCATGCTCGATCCGCTGAGCGAGCCTTTAGCTGTTGAGCCTGGGGTGGTTCGGCCAGCGGGCGGCGGCGAGGGCGATGGACTGAGCGTTGTCGGCGCTTCCCCGTAGGCTTGGACGAGGCCAAGAAGCCAGGACTGCAAAACGTGAGCCTGTCCTGCAATTCCCTCTGATCCTCTGGATGTCAATCTGCATACGTTTGATCGCGTATGCCTCTGCCTTGGGGTCCTTGACAATGCCGCCGACCTTTTCATTGCTGTATAGTTTGACGCCTGCCTCGAGCGTGTCTTTGTTGAAGATCTTTGTGTACTTGAACATTGCCCGCAATAAGTCACAATGCCTCTGCAGGCAGTCTTTGTCTGTCTCGTTTGTGAGCTCTTTCTCTTTTTCCTCGTCGTCGCTACCCCTTCCAACCGCCTTGAATTTGTAGCCAATCAACTTGCCATTCTCTTGGCATCTTCTTACAGCCGGGCCTCGAATATGTGTTGACAGAATGTCGCGAACTAGTTCGGGTGTAAACGTAGATTGTTGGGTGCTTCTTCCCATGGCCGGTGATTATGAAGGTTCGGAATCAAATCAACATGGAGCCAGCCTTTTGAGCCCAAAATGGCATGCGGTAAACGCAGCATCATCAGCAACATCATCATCATCATATGTGCCGAATCCCGTACAAGAGTTTCGCCCGAACGCCCCCCCCCCCCTCGTGGAGCCATGTGGCACACAAGAAATACTATGGACCCGCGCTCCCGAGGCCGCGATCCTTCCTAGAAACAAATACTTCCGCGCTCGCAAGGCCACGACCCACTGAAACAGTATAGGGAAGCGGGCTTCCAGGGCATACTACATGCTTCCCATGGGAGTAGCCTCTGCACCACACCACTATATGCCAAAATGACTTCAAGACCGCTCCTGTTCTAGATGGCCTCCAAGATGGCGCAATATTGCCCAAGTGGTGGTACCAAGAAGATGGCCACTTTGAGCCCAAGGTGGGGGGGTCGAACGAAGTAGCAAAAAAGAAGTAATGTACATGTGCAGTCTTGCTTCTCTTTACGGTTGGAGGGGGGAGGAGGGGAGTAGTTGAAGTTTGGAGTAGGTGGAAGGAGCATGAGCAGGCATGAGAAGCACGGAGGAGGGAAGGGAAGACGGAGGCGTGGGGGAGGGGACAGGTGGGTGGAAGGAATGAGGAAAGCAAGAATGTAAACTTACGTTCTCGCTCTTGCCTGTGATTGGAGGGCGGAGTAAGGAGGCCATCTCGGAGCTGTCCCTCACCATCTTCTTCCCTCCTCTTGCTCTCTCCCTCCTCCTCCTCCTCCTCCTCATCCTCACTCACCCTCACTGCTACTCGTCAAGGTTTCGGCGAAAACGAAAGCATGGGAAGAAGGAAGGAACGCAGACAGCGGATGTCCCTAGTGTCTGTGTGGTGCACTCTCAGGGGCCCAATAGCAACTTAATACAACATGTGAGCCCGCACGGGGGGTCAAGTTGAAGGTTCAAGTTGAAGGTTCAAGTTGAAGGTTGCCTTGCCACTTGTCTTGGATGGGTTGACCAATCCAGTACATGAATTACTTAACTCGTCGGAGGTTGAATTGGTCGGAGGTCTAGCGGATTCCTTGATGGACGAATCACTGCCTCACTGCATTACTGCATCGTTGACTTACTGGGTTGTTCAAATACTGAAACACAAGATCACCGTGCAATTAAATTACTGAGTTAACTCAATCCGGAAAGTCACAGTAAGCCGCAAAGAAAAGCAATACTGTAAAGATACATTGTTGTGTTTGTACTCCCCCCTTAACTCTTGTCGCTAGTTCCACGCATCGCTCCTCGCTGCCTCCTGCCAATTTCTCCCTCTCCTGTTGCTTCCCTCATCCTTACTCCTCCTCCCTCGAACCGCAGAGAAAAACAAAAATGTAAGATTACATTATTGCGTTCATCCTCACCCCTTTCGCCCACCAGGCGCACCAGGCGCTCCAAGCACACCATTCACACCAGGCACACCAGTGCACACCAGGGAACACCAAGCACACCAGGGCACACCACCAGGCACACCAGGCATATCACGCACACCCAAGCATACCCAAGCATTCCAGGCACACCAATACGCCAGGCACATTGGCGCGCCGCGGGCACGCAACGCCACTCCAGCGCTGTGGAGGAGGAAAACTTGCGTTTCTTGCTTAAGAAGATCACAAGTTTTTCCTCCAACCTCGTCTGCCGAATACGCCCCACCAGCACACGGAAAACACACAGACCCTTCGTACAAATCGCGTGCATGTCTCCGCGTGTGCGTGTGTGTCTGTGCGTTTGTGTGCCTGGTGCGCTGGTGGTGTGCCCGCGGCGTGCCGCCCGTGCGTCGTGAGCGCGCTTACGTTTCCATCAGTCAAGGCCTGGTAAAACTAACAGCCTCGCAAAGCGAAGCGGATACCTTAAACCCATGGGCGTGACAAGTGGTTTCGCGGCGTCAATGTGCAGACGCCTCAAAAACACATTTTTGAAAATTTGCGAGCGTTTCCTGCTTCAAAAAAAAGAAGAATCTGCGAAACTGATAATACCAAATCATTACTGGGAATTTGTCCAGAATGTTGTGCGAACTCCCCCCTCCCCGACCTTTCCTTGTCACTCCTCACAATACCCCTCATCATCATGCTGCTCCTCCTCCTCCATATTCTGCCGAAAAAGTGGGTTGATTCCCGCCTCCCGGATCAATCTCCGGGAGGGCCTCAAGGGCGAGACAGGGTCAGTCCCACTGCCTCCGGAAATCAAAACACCCTTTCGGCAAAACCCCTCCCCAATCTACCGCAGTCCCAACGGGCAAGTGGCGTGTGAAGACATTAACAAGCCAGCCTGGGAATATTGGAATATTACAAGCTACAACATAGAAGTACCCAGGTGGAGCAAAAACGAAGCGCGCACCCCTAGCATAAAACTGTGCTACCACCAAACCGAAGCGGCTCGCCCTTAAATATGATACCAAGAAGACGAGACACCTTTTTTTTTGCGAGACGCCCCAGAAAAGGAAACCATATTCAAAACATAACTGTCTTGGGCGACATCGCGGGATGAGTGATTCCGGCGACGACGCTCGCCCAATGTGACACAACATATGAGGAACAAAACGCGTCTCAAATGCAACCTCCTTGTTGCACCATACCGAGCACTCCATGCCCCTGGACCCCTTTTGCAAAGCAGGGAGCAGCAGAACACGGGTGGCACTGCATATGAGGAATAAAACGCGTCTCAAATGCAACCTCATTGTTGCACCATGCCGAGGAGGCTGCATTTGAGACGCGTTTTATTCCTCATATGCAGGGCCACCCGTGTTCTGCTGCTCCCTGCATTGCAAAAAGGGGTCCAGGGGCATGGAGTGCTCGGCATGGTGCAACAAGGAGGTTGCATTTGAGACGCGTTTTACTCCTCATATGTGGTGTCACATTGCTCGCCCAAACGCTGGACTACTCATTTCTTGAGAAATGAGTAGTTGAGTCAACTACTTATTTAAATAAGTAGTTGGGCCAACGGGGAATTGAGTGAGGAGGGCGAGGAGTTGGGGCGGAGGCTGACCAGGACGAACACGAATTGGGAAAGAGGTGATGAGGAGGGCGACTGCGAAAATGGGAGAGGAGGAGGAGGGGGAGGAGGAACGGAGGAGGAACGGGAGCGAGAGGAACTACCCATGGGTAGGTGGGCCTTGCCTGCAGGGGCCCCCCTCCGCCGAAAAAGTCAGAGGTCAAACTATGGGGTCGAAAACTTTACCTCTGACTTCCGTGCTTTTCCCCACGACGCGAAGATCAAAGCGCCCCTGAGAACTCCCCACCCTCCGCGCGATGATGGTGATTACAGCGATGTGGGCGGCGATCAAGTGGGCAAAACGGGCAGTCGCTCTCAATTCCTCGTTCCCCTAACACGTAATTGTTTTTTCATGCTTTGCGCAATCGAATAAAATTACGTTGTGGTCATCTTCTGAGATGGCTCAAAAGTCCCCCAAATCTACCGCGTTCGAAAGGTCGCGGGGCGGGGCGATAAATCTGGTTCGTTGGCTTCTATCGGGGCCCCATGTGGGGTACGTCGCCGGCGGGCGGGTCGCTGGGCGGGCCGCGAGCGGGGCGCGACGGATCGTAGGACGACGACGAGCAAAAATAACAACACTGACCCCAAACGGAACAAACCCTTATGACGTGGCCAACGAAGCCGCAATTCAGCCGCTCGCGGCGGTCGCGGGGCGTGTCGATAAGATAGCGCCTTGGATTTCTATCGAGGTCTCCTGCGAGGCGGGGCGCGAGCGGGCGGGGCGCTGGGCGGGTCGCGCGTGCATTGCGGCGGGGCGCGGGGCGAGGATCGCGAATACCAGTAACAACAACGACAACATTAAACACCGCATCACTGAAGCCAGACGCGCACCCAGGGACAGTGTAAAGACGTTCGGCCTCGTCAACCAGATATCTTATCTCTAGGTTTAAGGGTGGTGATGCACGCATAGGAGACGATCTCTAAAAAATAACAGCGGCGCTCCTAAATTTAACCGATCTCACTCAAATAACAAGATATAGGCAACAATAACAAGAGATTTCTCCTAAAAGCTGCTCTTAAATGCTTCGCACCACTTAGATCTAGACTATTCGGCTGCTTCCAGCCGCAGCGGATGGTCGGGGTTGCCAGTAATACCGTTCGGCCAATCACTCTGCTGGTTCGAATTTGGTTTGCGCGCAAGTGCATTGTTACGATGTCAAAGTGGCATGGCTGGCAATACTGTCAAAAAACAATGCTTCTAGTGCAAGAAATGCACTGTCTCAGCGAGGGCTTTTCCGACGACATGGTTTCGTGCTTTTGCCGGCTAGATTTTCTGAACGCCGGGCTGAAAACTAGACTGCGGTCTAGAAAACTGAACTGCTAGGAGGTGGTTTTGCACTTGCCGGGCATCTGTGGCACCAAACAGCCCGCTTTCGCTACCAATCCGGCTACTTCCAACACTTCCGGCTAAGAAACAAAACTTACACCCGATAAACAACACTTGCAGACGCAATCGGATGATCTGGGCTTCTCCCCGGAAGGACGAAGACAACTTCCCGGAGGTCGATTCTAGCAGCCACGGATCTAGCAGCCCTTGCCCGGCTTCCAAGACGGGGGCGGGCCTCCTCAGGTCGGGGGTTGCCAAAGGTGCCCCTGGTCCAAGGTGCCCCCAGCTTGTCGCTCCCTTCTGGAGCCCCTCGGGCGCCCTGGGCCTCGTGACGTGTGCTCCTGGAGGCCGTGGGGGCCTCCCTGTAAGACCTGGGGGGCACCTTGGGCCAGGGGGGCACTTCGAGCAGCACTCGGTCAGGAGTGTCTCGGAAGGCCTTTGGGCCTTCCGAGAAGCTGTCTGAGCCTTCCGAGCAGCCGCGCGGAGCTTGTCGTTGCCAGCCTGGAACATCTCCCTATCCATATGCTGGGCATCTCCTCATCACGATGCGAATCTCAGGGGTTCCCTTATTTTTTGAGGGCGCACCCCTGAGATTGTCATCGCCTTTTGGCGTGTCAATCCTAGGGATAGGGATAAGTTCGAGGCTGGTAATGTCGGAAGGCACCGTCCCCCCCTCGGCGCGCCGCCGGGTCTCACACTTTTGGAGCCGCCTCGGCCGACCCGGCGACGTTTGGTGTGCGGTAGCTTCGTGTCGTGTCGACGCGGCTACATTCCCAGCACGGGCGTTCGAGGCGGAGCGCCGACGTAATTGTAAGTCGGGCCTCTCCCTCTTCAGGAGGAGAATTCAAAGATGGTAAATAATTAGTCTGGGGACGAGTTGTATGTATCTTGGCATCGCTCGGACGCCTGCATTTTTTTCTCGGCGAGGACCATCGAGGACCATCCTGGACCATCGAGCAAACAAAAACACGCACGAAACCGAAAAAAGCACGGGAAATCCACGTCCGAGCGACGGCAAGGTATTATTTGATCATTGTTGGGGTACTTTTGGGGTATCTGTTTCTGTTCATCCAAAATCCCCCTGTAGGGGGCCACGGCCGAGCTGAACATAATCGCCCAGAGTCGGCCAGTATGGAACGATCCTGCAATCGAAAAGCTGCCGATCGTTCCAGGCAGAAGGACGCGCGCGGTTCCTGATTTTCCAACCTGCTTCAGCCTTGATCACCAGGAAGGGTTTCGAGCACCAGGTAAGTGCCGACATGGGAGGGTTTCACGTGACGGGCCCTGGGAGGTGATGCTTGTTCGATACAGTTTCGATACCTTTCTGGGTGCTCGGGATTGTGTCTGGGATGTGGTCCTCAAGTGCGAGGGGAGCAACATAACACGCGGTGTCAGAAGCCATCACCGGGGTCGTCACGACACGAGTCTGCCGTACACCAAGGGGACCCCTCCCGAGGCCAGATCCCGCCGGTCGGCATCCGCGTGGAGTACGACGCGGGCGCCGACCCGGAGAGGCCGACGAGCGGCGAACATACCAGCATCTCGCAGGCCTAGAGGTTGACACCAACACCAAGATCGGCGGTGTGCCTCCAGCGAGGGAAGAAGATCCCGATCTCGGTGATGGTGGTGATATTCTGGCTTCGAGGTGACCGAAGCATTGCCACCAGCACCGAAATCTAGGACCCCCTGCCCCCGGCGGAGGCAACCCCCTGTGTTGGTGTTGGTGCCCATGTCTAGGCCTCCAAGCATCCGTGTCCGCGCCCTCGCCGTCGGGACTCTGGGGCGCCGCTCCGGGGATCACCACCTGGCCGCACGGGTTCCGTCCGCGCGGGGCACCCGCGAGAAAACGGTGCTCGGCCACGCGCGAAAAGCAGGGCAGGGGGAGGGCGGCGGGCTGCTCTGCGAAGCGCCTCTGCTTCCTGGGCGGCGCTGGCCTCGTAGATGTCAAGGCCGGCGCCTTCTGAGAAGCAGGGGTCCTTCTAAGCTCGACTACATGTAAGAGTGACCTTTCGCCGGAGTGACCTTTGGTGCGGGCCCATCGGGCTCCCCCCGATCGCCGAGCGCGATGCGATTTAAGCGGCCCGCGCCCTTGGGTTTGGCCCCCTCGCGCCCCCCAAAAGCTGCGACCAAAGGTCACTCTTACCCGGGGTCACTCTTACGCCTAGCCGATAAGCAGCCTACCCCCCTCCCCCCGGTGCCCCCCCCTGCGCGTTGCCGAGCAGTGTTTTGTCGCGGGTGCCCCGCGCGGAACCTGCCTGTGCGATCACGCCCCGGGATCCAGACTGCGAGGGCGCGGATATACGGGCTCTTAGCACCTTCGCCGCCAGTCGCCCCCCCTTCCTGCGCGCTGGCAATGCCCAACAGCAGTCCCTGCGCATTTTGGACAGGACTCGCTGTCCACGCCGCCGCGGCCTGTGTCCATTCGAGACAGAAGGCCGCCTGCCCAACAGCGGCCGCTGTTGGTTTGGGACAACATTTGTTGTTGGGCATTGTACCCATTCTTTCCGTACCCATTTCGGGCGTCGAAACGCGAGGCCGCCTCCAGTGCCTCCCACTGTTCATCCAGCGCCTCGTAGATTCTTCGAGACGGCCCGCGGCCACTCGGGTCACTTCCCCAGGGCCGACGTCTCTTGCCGAGCTGTGTCAAGTCGGGCATGTCCCTCTCTACAGGAGGAGTATTCAGAAACAGTTTCATAATAGTATGGGGACGACTTTTGATTTTTGTTGACCAAGTTCCATTGTTGTATTTTAGTGTGGGGACGACTTTAAGTTTTGTGGGGACGACTTTTGATTTTGTTGTTGATTTCAGTGTGGGGACGACTTTTGAGTATTGTTGTTATTTTTCGTCCAAGTTCCGCCTGTAGGGGGACACGCCCGACCTAGCTGTGGACGGTCCCGAGGCCCTCGAGGGGCCGATCCTCGGACGTGGCCAGGACGAGGATAAAGTTCCGTTCCAGAGCTGTCTGGGACGCTGTCAGGGCGGTCGGGAGCGCTCCTTTAAAGGCCGCGGCGCCCGAGACATCCTCCAGAACCGGTGGATCTCCGAGGTTCTCGAAGTGTCCTCACCTGATGCTGTCTTCGTCCTGGCGTCGCCTTAGGAAGCGACGAAAACAACAACAAAACACATCTCCTGTGAAAGCACGGAGGAGCTGCGGATGGTGCGCGGAGGGGCGGAGACGCAGAGGGGGGGAGGAGGACGGGGAGGGGAGGGCAGAGGAGGGAGGCGGGCGAGGGGAGAGCATGAGGGGGGAGGAGGAGGCGGAGGAAAGACGAGCAGAGAGGCGAGAGGAGGAGGAGGAGGAGGAGGAGGCTGGAGCGTGGAGGAGGAGGAAGGAGGAGGAGGAGGAGGAAGGAGGAGGAGGTGGAGGAGGAGGAGGAGGAGGAGGAGGAGGGAGGAAGGTGGGAGGAGAAGGAGGAGGAGCGTGGAGGAGGAGGAGGAGGACGGGAGTGGGGCTGTGCTTCGCCCCGCGAGAGGCAGGAGCCCTGCGCCCTGAACGTGTGGCCGCCCGGCATGCGCCGGCGGGCGGCGCGGCCGCGGGCCACCAGCGGGCGCGCCGCGGACGTGCGCACCGGGATCGTGAAGAGGAGCTCTTCTGGAGGAGGAGGAGGAGGAGGAGGAGGAGGAGGAGGAGGAGGAGGAGGAGGAGGAGGAGGAGGACGATGAGGAGGAGGAGGAGGAGGAGGAGGAGGAGGATCGTGGTTACGCCGGGGTGTGGTTTGCGATCGGCGCCTATTGGGCCTGGGGGGCACGACGCTGTCCTCCTCGGGCCTCTTCGGGGCGCGGCGGAGAGCCCCGTCGAGGTCCCCGCCCGCCCCCCAGGGTGCCCCCCAGGGTGCCGATTGCAAGCCGCACCCCTTGCAAACCACACCCTTCGGAGTCGCCGATCTTCAGCCACGCGCAGAGGGGGGTGGGGGGAGGGGGAGGGCTTCTCAGAAGCGCCCCTGCTTCTCAGAAGCCCTCCACCCTCCCTCCACCCGCTTGTGCGCACCGCCGAGCTCTCGTCGGGGCTCGAGAACTAAGTCGGGCATGTCCCTCTACAGGAGGTCCAATTCAAAAATAAGTAAATTATCCCAGTGCGACCCTACCTAGGAGTTGGAACCCCTAGGAAAGCAGCATTAGTAGTAACAGTAACGCTAAGCTAAAGCTAAGCCACAGCTAA